AGAAGTGCCCTCTGTAATCTTATAAATTGCACACTAATAAAGGGAAGAAGAACAATGGCTCCATCTCTCTACGAAAGTTGATTAAGTTGTAGTAGACTAGTCTGGCCTGTATGAGTTTATTTAGCCTCAAACAAGTTTTTTAGTGCCTTAATTATTGACTGATATAGGTTAATACCAGTCAGATCGTCTTAAGTCATTAATTGATTGATCCGAAGAATAAAAGTTGGGTTATAAATCATATATGAAACATCTTTGGTAAGTTGTTAAATTCACAGCCTGAGTAGTGTTTTTTATACGGCTAGAATTGCGAAACATGCAAATATCATACTGCTCAAGTGGTAAGCTTCTGTAAATTTTGATGGTTTTTTCTTAACCAGCCTCTCTTATTTTCTAGTGTTCCTTTTCCTTTTCAGCAGGTCAAAGTGGCACCGCAAGCTCTTCTGGCAGCACCCAGATAAATGCCTGGGTGCAAGGAGCTATTGCCAAGATTAGTAACACAAATGAAGGAGCCTCTGGTGCAGCTCCCCCCATAAGTGGTCCATCATCCTTCATGCCAATCAGTATCAACACGGGAACGTTTCCTGGAACACCAGCTGTTAGACTGATTGGCGACTGCCATTTCCTCCACAGATTGTGCCAACTTCTTCTCTTTTGCTATTTCTTCCGGCGAAGCCGCTTTGCGGGTACTGCTCAGAGAATTAGCGACTCGAACGTGCAAAAACCACAGCCTGGTGGCCCTGGCAAGGTTGAAGAAATAAATTCTATTTCCACAAAGCCGGCATCATCTATAACCAGGTCAGATGAAGGTCAGGGAGCTCGAGCTGGTCAGATGACGACTGGATCAAAGGCAGCAGAAGAAGGTCCTGCTGGAAGGTCAAGATTGGGGTCGGGTAATGCTGGCCAAGGATACACATTCGAAGAGGTAGACATAAGGCTTAGTTTTTTTGGTCTTAACTTCCAATAATTTCTGGCTTTGAGCTTTTGACTTCTGTTTTTAAGTGGAAATCATCTTTGGCAGCTCTCAGTTTTGTTGTTCCGTCTTTCATTGATGAATTAGTAAGAATAGCCAAGATTTTGCCTATATATTTTCGATGCAATGTTTTTTCTGTACCCCAGCAATAGGAAGGATATTGTGTAGAAGACTCAGACATTTTTGTCTTGTAGGTGAAGGTCCTTTTTCTCATCCTTCGAGATCTGTGTCTCCGAACGGCTCCTCTGTCACATCCTTTACCAGTTTCTCAGGTTGGGAGCCCCCACATTCAGGTTCGATTGCATTACATAGATGGGAATTATACTGTATTGCCTGAAGTTGTGGAAGCATCCCTGGGTCCATATATGCAGGTAATACTGGATTTACTTGATACTGTATTATCTTTATACTATGTATTTTTCTCGCATCTTCATGTAAATTGTTGTAGTATCCAGTTAGCATGTTGGCAAATTGCCGGTAGTTATTTGTTTGTTGTATGGGCAAAGATGCAGGTGCTTACATGCTCGAACTGATTATGTGATTTGGATTTTGGTTCTACTTAATCTATGGACCACTAGACCAGGTTGAAAAGGATGAGACTTAGGATTGTATTCTATGTGACACATTCTTGTTTTAAGTTGTGAAGTTCCGATTTTAGTGTATAAACTCATGTATGTTGTACCTTTTTCTATCTGGTGGGCTATCTAGAGTATGCCCCGGCCTAGAGGTGCAGATGCAGCTGGTTTGTTGCTTCGCGAATTGGAACTTCATCCGCCTGCTGAAGAGTGGCACAGGCGCAATATGTACGGTGGTCCTTGGTCTGATCCAGATGATGCAGGTCCAGTTGAGGATAACCCGAAATCGAGCAACGGTAGTTTGGATTCAAACTCTTTGGAAGCTTTTGATGCTTATCCTGGGGTCCTCAATTTATGGCCAAGGAAGCGTAGGATGTCAGAGAGAGATGCGGCTTTTGGATTGAATACCTCGGTCGGCTTGGGCGCATATCTTGGTATAATGGGATCTCGAAGGGACGTCATCACAGCTGTGTGGAAAACTGGTCTGGAGGGAATGTGGTATAAATGCATGAGATGCTTGAGGCAGACTTCTGCTTTTGCTTCGCCAGGCTCCGCTAGTCCACCTAATCAAAATGAGCGGGAGACTTATTGGATCAGCCGGTGGGTTCACGGATGTCCCATCTGTGGTGGAGCTTGGGTCCGAGTTGTGTAACTGGCCCTTGTTCCCTATCCCTTTTCCTCTGGTGTATAAATGAACGTTTCTCCTATCTACTCATTTTTTGATCCGTCCGCATGGCTTCTGGTGTTAACGAAAGAAAGTCGAGATGCGCCAGCTGACTCGGGAAGGCCTAATGACAAGACATCTTTGTACATTTTGTAATAGTTCAGCTGAACAACTCGCTTCAGCAAAGATTCTTAACCTCGACAGCGAAAATGGTGCTGCTTTGAAGGCGGTGATCTGTTTGGTTCCTTCGATCTATTTCTACTCGCATGTCAGTGTTTCCTTGTAATTATCATAGTCCCGCTAGCGCGGCAAGTACTAGTTGAAAAACTGCTGTAAAGGAATTTAGTTGTCTATTCATGCAGCTGAGATGGTTATATCTTTGTTCTACATGTGCATTTTCCTTTCTGGCCCAAGTATATCGTAATTTGTCATGCTACGATGTAGAAACATCACAGGGCAATTCCCTTCACTTTCTCTGAACTCGAGGCTAAACTTCGAGGTCTCTCCTTGTGTTTATGTTTTTGTGATTCTTGGTCTGTCGAGAAGTGGTTCATTCTGCTTGTTGGATTCGTCAGGGAAAAATCAATGCTGAAAAGAGACGGTAAATAACGCCGTGCGTCGACCCGTGAAATCACAGTGATTGGTGTCGGCCGATGTAATCACGGTTGTAATTCGTGCTAACTGTAATCACGGCCGATGTTTATGTAATCAGAGTGATTAGTCTGTGCTAACTGTAAAACATAGGGCTAGGCAACCGGACCAGCTCTTCCCGAGACCCAGATTGGATTGCCCTGAAAACCGGTCTAGTTCCCGTTAGAACCGGTCCCGTTCCCTGTTCCGAGTTCTTTTTGATCTCACTCAGACACTCATGACTCTTTCTCTCTCTCGCTTGCGACTCACCCTCCTTGATTGCTTGCGGTTCACCATTGCTCGTTCGAGCCTAACAACCCTCATTTGTTCCCGGCTCGCCCTCACAACTTTTGCTCGTTACCGACTCTCCCTCACTCGTTCAATCCTCGTACCTCACTCGCTCAAACAACAAACGACAATCATCAAGAAGGAATAGCTGAAGAATTTAATTTGTTGGCCGAATCAGTCAGTTTTCACACGGAAATCCCCATCCTTCCTCGCTCGCATGCCTGAACAGAGAGCATCTAAAGACACCACACCTAGGAGGAAAGATAGGCTTTCAGGAACTGGAAGGGACAGTCTCCTTCCGAAAGATTTACGTGTTTGTCCACACAAGGAATTCCCGTCTTCGTTTGTCTATACGTAACTACGTGTTCATCTTTTAGATTAATGCTTTTAGTGAATAAGGATTTTTGTTGTTAATCTTTTGCTTTAAACAGTCTTGTTGCTTATATTATTTTGCTGTAAAAAATGAAATAGAAAAAGAAACAAAAGACAAACAAGTTGTCGGGTAGACCCTGAAACCGTATCGAAAAAACAAGATAGGTTTCAAGGTCGGTTTCAGGGCAAATAAAGTAAGTTCCAAGTTCCAAAATCTGAAAACCGACTCTAACATGACATGTTTCAAGTTTCAAATCTATAACTTATCCACCTTTAAATCGATCACTCCTCTAAAACATCATACTTACCGTATCGTTCTTGTCCTCAGTAACATATAAGTTAAGGCTAAAGAATCATATCACATTTCTATTTTCCCTTTAAATTCATCGAGGCAAGGTTATTTGCTTCGATGTCTACGCGGCCAGCAATTCGTATTCACGCCTTGTAATCTGATTTTGTAGCCATGTCAAGGTCGGTCCAATTAAAAAACACTTTTTGTTAATTGTGCTATAAAGTTCGAGCATGTAAAATTCAGGTCACTTTCTAATTTGCTATATAATCGTATGGAAACATGTTAATCCTTGGAGGGATGATTTTCTAGTCGTAGCATGCCGTGCCCACTTAACAAACATAGAGATAATTACACAAATGGTACCTGAATTTTGATTCAAAGCGTAACGTCGTCCGTGAACTTTTAATTTGTTCAATGCAATCCCTGAATTTTAGCCCAATGTGAAATATCGTCTCTTTTTTAATTTGTTCAATGTGATTCTCAAACTTTTAGTTAATGTTCAATCTAATATCTAGGTTATATGAATATGTACAGAGTTGTACCCAAACCTAAATTAATGAAAGGGTTAATACCATGAAAAACCTCAATCTGATACACATGTGACAAATTTACTCCAAACTCATTTTTTGACCATAAAAAACCCAAAACTGGTATATCTGTGACAAATTTACCTTATGTTAGTTTTAATTAAATTTTATCGTCAAATTTTTTAGTTGGATGACACATGTACCAGTTCACTAGCGTACCAGTTTATGATTTTTTGTGGTATTAATCCAATTTGATACAAGATAAATTTGTCACAAATGTATCGGTTTTAGGTTTTTGGTGGTCAAAAAATTAGTTTGGAGTAAATTTATCACAACGATACAAGTTTTGGGTTTTTGGTGGTCAAAAAATTAGTTTAGGGTAAATTTATCACAAGTGTACCAGTCTGGGGTTTTTTGTGATATTAACCCTTAATGAAATCACGATATTGAATATTTTTATGTAGTCAAATCACCGAATTGAATATCTACCAAAAGTATATAGATCATATTGAATAAATTAAAAATTCGAGAGCGACGTTATACATTGAGTTAAAGTTTATGAATCACGTCGAATAAACTCAAAATTTATAAACCACGTTGCACGTCCAAGGACCGCATTGATCGGGACGACATTCCACGTTATGCTAAGAATGAGAGAACATTTGCGTAATTTTCTCACAAACATGCGATGGAATGAAGCGAGTACGACGACGATGATGCGTTGCGATCGGAGGCCGTCGTCGAGCGTCTGAAGAACTTCAAAACCAACTGAATCTCAGAACGTCGCGCAGAGAGAGAGAGAGAGAGAGAGAGAGAGAGACAGCTTGCTTGCCGATCGGAAGCGGCGGCGATCTGCGGCGGAGCAACGATGAGCTCGACGACGCAGGGGCCCCACTCGCTGGCCTTCCGGGTGATGCGGCTGTGCCGCCCCTCCCTCCTCGTCGACCCTCCCCTCCTCGCCCACCCCTCCGACCTCCTCGCCGGCGAGGACATCCTCGACGACCCCCTCGCCGCCGCCCGCCTCCCCGCCCTCGTCGCCGCCCACCTCGCCGCCGCCCCCGACCCCACCTACCGCTCCCGCTTCCTCCTCCGCGACCCCGCCGACGCCATGGGCCTCTCCGGCCTCCTCCTCCTCCCCCAGGCCTTCGGGTTCGTGAATTCTCTTCGCGATTCGGGAGGATGCGAGGGCGATGCGATGCGCGCGTGTATCGATCGGAGTCGATCTTGCGTTCTTAGCGTTTTGGATTGGAAGTTCTCTCGAGAGGAATTTCATGATGTTGGTTCGGTTGGCGCGCTGATTTGAGTCGTTCGTGTTTTGCAGGGCGATTTATCTAGGAGAGACGTTTTGCAGCTACATTAGTATCAACAACAGTTCGAGTTTCGAAGTCAGGGACGTCACGATTAAGGTCGGTGCGTTCACTTCTTAGATGCAGATTTCAAAGCTGAGAGTAGTTCAGTGGTCGAGCTTTATTGTCTTTGGTTGGTGTAAATTTTGCTTGCCTACGTATGGCATTGTCGATGATGCGAAGCGAAGACGGCGTGGATATGTTTAGACTCATGGGTGTACTGTGGTTGTTGTGATTAGTGTGTCTATCTGAAAGATTAGTTTACAGGCGGAAATTCAAACTGAGAAGCAGCGGATTTTGCTTTTGGATACTTCCAAGGCTCCGGTGGAAACGATACGTGCAGGAGGGCGTTATGATTTTATTGTGGAACACGATGTGAAGGAACTTGGAGCTCACACGTGAGTTTCGCTATACTTTGTTTTGATGACATACTTTCAATTAGGTGTGCAAAGGTGTCTGTGATTCGAACTTGCGCATCTTATCTTTTTTGCTGATCTTCTTCTTCAGCCTGGTTTGCACGGCATTGTATTCTGACGGTGATGGAGAAAGAAAATATCTTCCTCAGTTTTTCAAATTCGTTGTTGCGAATCCGCTTTCCGTGAGGACAAAGGTATCATCTTAGTGTTCATTTGGCTGCAAGATGGTATTTCTTTTTAGTACTTGAAATTTGAATGATATGTATGCGTAGACAACATTGCTTCTATTGTGCTGTGGTGGCAATGGCGGAATTTCTTGGTTGTTTAAACATGATATTGTGTCTGACGTCGATTTTAATGTTCTTTTTTGCCTTTGCAGGTCCGTGTGATCAAGGTATGTTGAGATTGGCTAATTTAGTTAATGTAAGTTACAGTTTTTATCTCGATGTTTATAGTACATTTACAGGAACTACGCGCTAGATCCTATCGTTAGCTCTTTGCAGAAGTTTATAGTGGCAATTAATTTTGTCATCAGATTAGATAGCTTAATGAAAAGATCGAATTAGCTAATTGGTTAATGGTTTTGGTTCTCAAAATGATTTGTTCTGTTATCATTCACCTCATCTCTCTCTCTCTCTCTCTCTCTCCTGAAAATCATTAGCATTTCAGAGTTTGCATGGGTCTCTTTGTTTTACAATATTGGGACTCCTGTGTGCTCCACCGTCTCCTTTTCTCATTAGAGGTGGGGGTGAAGTTGGATCACGCTGGCCTTTGTGTTTGCCTTGTGGTTGGATGAGGAGACTCCTCTCTTATCTCTATTCAGGTGCATTCCTCTCTATAGGAGATGATTGTCTTAATAATACTTGTCGAACAATAGCAATGTCCAGAAGTCTGTTGAAAGGAAACTTGTTTCTGTGTTATGACGTGCTAGAAGTTGTGTATCTGTAGTACATTGGATGTTGCTTTAATCCTTTTAGGCATAAGCTTGATCACCATAACTGGCAAACTACTATGCCTTTCTCTCACAGAGCTTATTTGAAGCTGTCCAACCTAGTAAGATTTTGTCCCAAAAGCCTTGCTAAGACAGTTCCACAAATGCTGATAATCAAGCTCATTGCTTTTTCTACATTTATGAGCTTCAACTTTTAACTGTTTTGGTTGACATTTTTTTCATACCATGGAACAAATGCCCTATATGCTGAGGACAAAACATCTCAGTATGTTGCTCCTCCATATTAGGATGTGACAACTTGAAAACATATACCAGGAAACTACATTTCTGGAAGCGTGTATTGAAAATCACACCAAATCGAACTTGTATATGGACCAAGTTGAGTTTGAGCCAGCACAATACTGGGGTGCAACAATGTTAAAAGCTGATGAGCACCAGTCCGAGATAGATTCTCCAGCTAAGTATGTAAAGGATCTCTTAGTAAAATCCACATATTATATGCCGTTCTATTCATAAAAATGTGAATGCCAAGAGGCAATGATTTTTTTGACTTACAGAGAGGTATTTAAATCACCGATCCTGATCAGATCAGGTGGAGGAATTCAGAACTATCTTTATCAGTTGAAATCGTCCTCGCAGAGTAATGGACAGATGAAAGTTGAGGGAAATAATATTCTTGGTAAGTTTCAGATCACATGGCGCACAAATCTGGGTGAACCTGGTCGTTTACAGACACAGCAGATTCTTGGGACTGTAAGTGTCCTCCTTCGAGCTTGTGGATAGGAAATTCTAGTTCATCTGACTTCCATTTTATAAGAATAAGTATTTGTATTTTCTCATTATGCAGTGGTTTGCAGTTGCTGTGTTTCCTTCATTACGTTAGATTCTCTTTTAAGTTACTTAGTTGTACTTAGAAGTTTCTTTTTGTGGTGTTTGTTATATTTTGGGGTCAATGATGAACTTAGGTTTTAGCTGGGTGGGATATGCTTTTTCTTGTGGAGTGTCTGTTTCTGGTGATGTTTTGGTATACTGCAATGAGGAGACATATAATGGTTGATCTGGCATACCACTTACGCTATTGCTTGGAAAATGCCGCGGTAGTGGTAGACAAGCAAATTTAACAAGCATACTAACCATAGGGTATTTTAGCTGATAATCTGCTTGTGCTTTTATGAGAGGACATGATGTATTTTGAGGGCTAAACTGTTAGGGCATGGCTATGCATTATGTAAACTTAAAATATTTGAATTTGAAAAACTGCAATCTGAGCCCTTTCCAAACGTCTTTCCATTATATCTTTGACCTCTATCTGATACTGAAGAGTATATCCGTTTCTTGAACTGTCTTCTTTCGCAGGCCATCACCCGCAAGGATATGGACTTGCGTATTGTAGAGACTCCAGACAATATTAACTTGGGAAGATCCTTCTCGGTTAGTTCCATCATTACTGTGCCATATGATTTGTGTCTATAAATAGAAAGTTTCACATACCATTCTGATTTATTAATTTGAGGCGGCTGATCAGGACTTTATGATGCTTCTCTCAGCGACTATTGGAGTCATCCTTTCAATTAATGAACCTTATTAGTCTCACTTGCCTAAATGTTATGTTCTCCCAGAAAAATGCTTATTTCTTCATCCATTGATTGGGAACTCGCAATTACTAATGCATGCTACAGGTACGCTTCAATCTCATGAACTTGATGGACCGAGAATTGGGCCCCTTTGAAGTTTGGTTATCGCAGAATGATTCACCTGAGGACAGGGCTGTTATGGTTAATGGTCTTCAAAAGATGGTAATCAGATGATCTAGCTTTTAAAAGCTTCCTTTGCATGAAATTTGTCGCGCTTTCAGTGTGTTGACGGATACTTAAAGTTGATAATGTCCGGTGTTGACCTCAACATGCTTTGTGGATTAAAAATTTAATGTTTTCTTATGCTGCAAATACATGTTATACTGATGAAAGGGAATTCTGTCAGACAAGCGGAATCAGAAAATGTGTGCTTCATCCAGGCCTTCCTCTTTAGCTGTAGCTCCTTTCTCTTCCTCTTAGAGAGAGAGAGAGAGAGAGAGAGAGAGAAGGGGGGGAGGGAGGGGCAGGGGGAAGGGGAGGGGGAGCGGGAGCGGGAGCGGGAGGAAGGGAGGGAGTGAGAGAGAGAGAGAGAGAGAGAGAGAGAGAGAGAGAGAGAGAGAGAGAGAGTACTCTCAGGAGTAACATGCCTTTCTATTGTGTTTAAGCTTGTGTCATTGTCTGATAGCATGCAGTAGGTGGACCTAATGGAAAATTGGTGTAACTTGGAAACGTGTGCCTTTTACGTCGGTGAGGATTTTGATTACTTATTTTATTGAAATGTTCATTTGAACCTCGTAGGCATTACCAAAGGTGGAGGCATTTGGTTCATCAGATTTCGCACTGGTATGGATAATGTTCTTCAAGCTTTTTACCTGGATTTCTTCACTATACCTTTGTGTAGCTTCTGTGATGTGTTATCTACTATATTGCAATTATGCTCTAAGTAATTGAGCTTCCTACATTAGTTTATCTGCTTGGTTTGGAACTTGTTATCTAAATTTGCGACTCACACATCATGGTAGATTTTCTCTGATGATGCTCACTGCATTGTGCCCCTGCCCAGTATTGAAGTGTTTGGATGATGCAAGATTGTGGAAGAAATTATTTTTAGTACCATTTGCATCTTCAGGCAGTAGGTGATCCGCAATTAAAATTAGGGGAAAAAATTGCCGGGGGCATTGTGCATAACAAAAGAACAGGGTGAGTGAAAACGTTTTTCCAATCCATTAATCATGTGGCAAACCGGCCTGAGTCTCTGATGAGTTCTTCTTCTCAATTCTCAAATTTAATCTATCGGTTGCCTCAGTAATGCTATACATTCATAAATTGAAGTAGGTCTAGCAAAATTTAATCTATCGGTTGCCTTTCGGACTTGCTATTAGCTGAATAGACAAAAGGAGAATGTAGGAAATGATGTACCTGACCTTTGAAGTGGCCCACCAATTGCCCCTTCTTAATAAATGTGGAGAGAGAGAGAGAGAGAGAGAGAGAGAGAGTCCTTTGTCATTGCGTTCAACATTTCATGTCACCTTTGCTCTCTTTATTTCTGCAAGAACTGTACTATTTGCAAACTGCATGCACTTCTGCATTCTGATGCTGCGAGAGCCACTTATTTTCTCGTCTTAAATTGTTCCAGTTCTGGATGATTTAATTGTGTGGATGAATACTAAGGTGCCTTATGAATCTCTCATTAATCATGAGCACTTGACTATGTCATCAATTTTTATGCTACATATCTGTCGCATATACCTTTTTGATTTCATTTGGCTAATTCCTTAAATCTGGCTTGTACCTTTCTTATTGCATCTACTTGTTTCTCTTCCAAAAAGAATTTCTCCAGTCACCTTACTTTTGTGCAGAATTTGATTGCTACTAAACTTGGAGTTCAGAGAATTACAGGCATTACTGTGTTTGACATAACAGAGGCCAAAAGTTATGATCTGTTGCCAGATTGGGAGGTATGTCCTTTTGATCAGTTCTCTGTTTGCAATGGCTATGCAGCAGTGCGCATATCATACGACTTGGTTCCCTGATATTTTTTGGGCTTTGTCTCGTGCTTTAAATGGACTATCTAATGGCTGAATCCATTATTAGCTTTACAAAATTGGCATATCTTCGGTTTGAAGACGCAAATCTGAGTACATTAAACTTGGTTGGTTGACCCAAGTGTTGACCTCATAATAGGAGAGTAGCCATGTGAGAGTTGGTGAATTTGTGTTCCATAGTGAACTAGTTAGCTCTTTTCTCTCTGTTTCTGTTTATACTTTTTCATTTTTCAAACAAAATAACACTATTGTTTTAAAGTAATGTTTTCCTTCAATATTCAAGCCAAATATCAATACCGATATCATTATTACCTTTTTTGGCCAATGTTATTAACTGGAACTTCTTCTTTAATTTTATGTTTGACAACCTTATATTCCATAAGATTAAGGATTTTCATGTATAATATATAAAGCTTCATTTGTGACGCTTTAGTGATTTTCTAGATATTATTTCATAATCAAGATAAAGTTTGATCCATTAGCATATATTAGCCCGACTATCAGAAAATAAAAATCAACATTTGCCTTAAAATCATGGAGAAGTTTACATAATAGGTGAACAACATCAAGTTACGGTTTACTGTTAAATTTTCTCATTAATATTGGAGATTGTACTACTGACTATTTTATACATTGTACGTCGAGTAAATAAATCACTAAAGCTTCATTTGTGACACTTTAGTGACTTTATAGATATTATTTCATAAACAAGATAAAGTTTGGATCCATTAGCATGTATTTGCCCGACTATCAGAAAATAAAAATCAACATTTGCCTTAAAATCATGGAGAAGTTTACATAATAGGTGAACAAAATCAAGTGACGGTTTACTATTAAAGTTTCTCATTAATATTGGAGATCGTACTACTGATTATTTTATACATTGTATGTCGAGTAAATAAACTGTGTTTGTAAAGGTTAAAACGTGGCACCGTGTTCGGTGAATAATAACCATGTTTTACTTTATTTTATTTTAAGCTTTTCATTACATAACTAATAATATAAGAACTATACAAATTCTCTTAATACATTAATACATTGGTATGTTGCTTTATATACATTTTGGTTGATGAAAATAGATCATATAAAGAATATTGCCTTGTGTATGGCACGGGCAATCTTCTGGTATTGCTAAAAGCAGAGAGTTCTCTACATGTCATGAATATATTCCATGATAAAACTCTTGGTGCCTATTGCAAGCATATGTTCTTTAAGCTAGAAAATAAGAAGGTTTCCTGTGAAATCGTTTCTCCTCCAGACACTTAAAATTGCATTAAGCCATACAGGTTGTCTGCAAGATGGTTTTGCTCCGCCCTTGAGCTGCCATGTTCAACAAACCATGCTCAATATGAATTTCTAGTGTTAACTTGGAATTGTCAACAAAGTTAACATCGTTTCTACATAGCGTTTGTGAATCACGTAATCTAATTTTTTTGGTAATTGATGGGTCACGTGATATGCTGTTGATTTGTTTTTTTTTAATTTCTTCTGGATACTTGCAGATTTTCGTGGATGTCAAGTGATCTATCTTCCCATCTGACCTGTTCCGCCATTGGAAGATAACTTAACTCTTGCGAGAAAAGTTTCTTTTTGATCTTCGTAGACAAGCCAATGCTTGGTCATTGTACATATCCACCTCAAGTTAGTGCAGATTTCTGCTTTTCTGAATGGGCACACGGAATATTTGGTGCATCAGTTAGTTTCCAACTCCAATTTCTGTCTGAAAGCTCAAATGGGTCATATCTGCCAATTGTCTCTTCCTTCCCTAAAATAGGAGACTGATTTATCTTCCCCTAGAGATAGTGTACTTGTAGGGAGATGACTGATTTACATTTTATTGACTGGATTGTTTGTAAGGTTGTTGCTAGTGATGAACTAGTTATATCCATTTGCATCACCTTCGCAATTGAAAAAAAGCAGATTTCATTCTAAACGCTGCTCGTGTAAGCTACCGAACAGTCGAAATTCCATTCGACGAGCTGTTTCAGAATGGCTGGTTGGTTATTCATGCTTCTCTCTGTTATATTTTGGCTCTCTACTTTGTCTATTGTAATATCTCTGTGTGCACCGAGTCAAAATGTGGCACAAAACCCTTCCCAATTGTTTATTCATGTTCACTATTGTAAGAATATTCTTGCTCTCAGAATGATTTGTTCATTTTTCTCACTGTTATCTATTTGATGTATAGTTAACGTGTAGAATGCAAGAAATTAAAATGTAATCAGCAAAGCTGAGTAGACCAAGTCAAAAACGATGCCCATCTTCAGTCTCATATCACAATCCACAGTGATCTTTAGAGAGAATGAGTCAACAAGAATAGGGTCGATTGCCACATGCAAGTTGAGTCAAATTACTCACTAAACCAAAAGCTGTTCATCATCAAGAATCGAGAAGTATGTACTCCTAATGGACAATTCGAAGTGGCGAGATACGCCTCTAACAAATCGAACTCGACGAATATATGCAAGACGAAAACCAGTGTATCCCAATTATACCTTCCAATGAAGATGATATATATGAAAACCAAAACTTTATATAGAAACAAATCCCTTTGGAATGTAAATCTGCGTCAGCTCTCAAATCACATCCTTTTTATTGATGTTCTAAAGCGTTAAACATGTACAGAAAGCAAAGAAAAATCAGGGGCATGGTGCAATTTTCCCCAATGGAAACCCCACCAAAGTCAGCTCGAAAGAGGAAAAAACAGAAAACGACGACGAAAAATTCAAGCAGGAAATTGAAAAAATTACAAAAGAAGAATCCAACTGTCCGATTGTCATTGCTTAATGGTGGTTCCTTAGGGATCACCATCATGCATTTTGACCCCAAATTGCCCAATTGGCTTCGCTCCCGACACGTGGCATGACGTGAACCTTGGACTGGACATCAACCTTGAAATTGGCCCCGCACATGATCCCCTCGCTGTCGATCCTCGGCATTGCCTTCACTTTGCTCGTCGGATGTTCAAAGCTCATTAATCCATGCTCGCTATGAAACATACATCCTGCCCAAAACAAACAAGAAAAAAAAAAAAAACCCATTATCAGTAATTTAATTATTATGTACTCTCTTTTTGAGAACATTTCTGATCATTAATCTCAGGATTTACTTATTATTGAAAAAATATTTAGAGCAAACAGACCTGCTGGGAATGGAGCAAATGATTTGACACAGCTCCCTTTCACGACCTCCAAGTTGTCCGAGATCACCAAAGACCCATCTGCTGCAATCCCCCAGAACAGCCTCACCCCTTCTTCTGCTCCCTATATTCATCATCAAGAACGTAACATTTAGTTTGAATTTGTCGATGTTCTCCTAGTCGAAACATTTTTTTGTTTATAATGAACAAGATTGATGTTATCGAGAGAACTTACAGATGCGGCGAAAATGGTCCCGGCCTTGCCATCGTAGAGTACGAAGCCGTAGTCGCCGTCCAGATCCTTGAGGACCTGATCGGCCGGGTAGGGGCCCCGGTCGCGGAGGGTCCGGTAGGCCTCGATCACGAACATGGCCTCGTCCGTGCCCTTCGACAGGCCATATTGCTTGATGAGGCTGCACAGGTTGTTCAGGCTGCCCCGGAAAATGCAGTAGATGTTGTCCAAGCCACAGAACAATCTGCCCGGAAAAGGGAAACAAAAACGCATTTAGCATAATTCAGAACTCTCCCATTTACAAACACAAGTCTTGATTCACTGATTTTCTGTCAAGAAAAATGCAGATTACATGGATATGTTGTCCGAACCATCAAACAATTTAGGGAAAGGCAATTTAAAATTCGCGAAATTCCCACATTGCAAATGTGCTCGAAGCTGAACTCTTTGAAAAGTAACTTTGATACAGAAGACTCGTTTATATTGCCAAGACAGCAGACTTCCGATGAGCACGACATAAACCGCAATGCCAACTATACTTGAACTCATCTGCAAGTCTAGCTTTGCTTGATATCAATCTCGAGGGAGATTGCCATCGGCTATAATGCCGCGAACTAGGCAGTTGATCACATCATAAAGGCATCACATTTTTCAGCTTTGCTGCCCAATACATCATCATTACCTTTGATGGACTGAGTAGGACTTCTGAGGGCGAGCATAAGCGAGCAAAGCACCGTCTTCAAAGCTAACCGAGAAGGCATTGCTGCTGCTGGACTGATGGGTAGCCAAGAAATCCTCCAAGATCTCCCTCGGAAACTTGGGCTCCCTCGTGGCGATCTTCGACGGGTGAGGGCTGTTGAGCTCCTGCGGCGGGTGAGCCAGACCCTTCTTGAATATACCCAACATTTTCCTTCCCCTCTTGCAATATCACAATCAAACACAAAACCCAGAAGAGAGAGAGAACGAAAAAACGCAAGCTTGAACAGCTTTCGAACGACGCTAAGAAACCGATGAAACGGTGATTGAAGAAACTTGATGCAAGTGATGGGGGGAGATCCGTCTGTTCTTGGTGCCTATATATACTGAGAAAGCCAACGTGGAAACATTATCCAGAATGGTGGGCCCAACGACAACAGCCCACGTGTAATTTTGTTCAAATTTGGTACAGGAGATTAGATCTGTTTCTGGGTCTTATTCATTCTTTTTTCTTGTCTTTAAATAGATAAAGATGAAGCCTTTTTACCTGGGGTTGAGGAAGTGAGAACTCTTTTAGGAGTTTTATTTGTCCTCTAAGCAACCAGACATTAGTTTGCTTTCGCGTAATCCAATCGATTAATACCGTATGAACTACTCGAATGAATATAGCATCGAAATAAGTTGCTTATAAAAAAACGTTCCAAGATCTTCGACGAATACATTTAACGGCATACGTTAAGTCCACATCTCTGGTCCGATGAATTGATCGTGGAGATTGCGCGAGCATCGAGACATTAGATCGAGTGAAAAATGAATCCCGCGCACTTAAATTCTTTGATGGTTAAAAGATGTTTACCCACTAATACTAATCGGCGCATCTCTTGAAGCCCTTAAACGAATAATTCGTCTAGGTCCAACTGCTTTCAAAGAATAGGAACCGGAACGACACCTCCCGAAACTACCTAGAACTGGCTGGTCCGGTCCGATCAGGTCCGGTCCGAGCGGTTTTCAATTCGGTTGGTCCATCTTGCACACCCCCTACAAATTATTTCCAATATTGATATGGAAAAATAAATGTTATTTTTAAAAAAGCAATAGTAAATTTTTATTATAATAATAATTGAATTTAGAAGTACGAGGAACTGTTCAAAGAAGTGGCCTTTATCCGCAAAGCGATGGGACGCTTGACGCCGATCCGAGTCAGCCACTCGGATTCCTGTCGGCTATCTCGTGGATCACACTCATCTCCACGTCTTCCATCATCTACCATTTTTGTTCATTTTAATATTAGATTTTTTTAATCCCTTTTTCGGAATTAAAAATTCGAAAATAATAATAATAGAATAGAAAAGAAAGAAAGTGCACTACCCCAGTCCCACACAGAGAATCTGGCGAACATGTCGTTGACCACTCCATTTTGACTGTCCACTGGGCCTGACTGTTGTGGCCCAAATCCAGGCCCAAGAGAGAAAAGAGAAATTTGGGGCCACTCTCGAAATCTTCTGAACCATGAACCAAAGGTGGACTTTCAAGAGTCGTTCGGATTTCGGCTCATTTTTGGATGAACGTGGACTTAAAGTTAGAGATCACAACTGATTTCGAATGTCCCTTTTGGTGGCGAATGACCGGATCGGGCCGGATTCTGACTGTGGCGTTCCGAAGACTCTGGCTCTGATCGTTTTGGGGGCCGAACCATCTCGGTTTCGGATTGCTCGGACCCGAGTCGATTTCGATCTGAATCGGGCTCGGTTATGAGCCATGATAAGGAGCGGGTGGATTCTCCGTTCGTTTCCACTTCCGCACGGATGGACCGTTGAGGCAAAGGGTCTGGTGGCGGCAAGGGACGAAATTGATTAAGATGTTTGGGAGCAAAGCGTACGTTTTAGAAGTGAGCAATTGAGCCGGTTCAACCCACAAAACGACCTAAACTTGCCTTATTTCATATGTTTCGGACCAGTCTGGTTCTTGATTCCAAAGATTAGGGATCGAACCCGTTTGAATCGTTCACCTCTAATCTGACCACCTCTCTCTCTCTTTCTCTCTCTCAAGCTACTTCACTTGCACTCTCTCTTCGCCGGCGATTTTACAACTCAATGACTGAGTATTGATGGTGTAATTTGGTAAAAGAGATCTTCTTTATTATTGAGATAAACCAAGTATATATAGGCTTAGGGTTAAGCCTTGATACAAAGACCTAAATACCTTTTCCTAAAATAAACCCAACTTGCTAATTATCTAATAATAAAACTAACACTCCCCCTCAAGTTGGGGCATACATATCAAAAAGACCTAACTTGTTGCAAATATATGAAACTCGTCCACGCCGTAGAGGTTTCGTGAAAATGTCTCGCTAATTGCTCCTCGGACCGTGTATGTACCAATTTGTATATCACCACAATTCACCTTTTCCCGAACAAAGTGACAATCAATCTCTATATGCTTAGTTCGCTCATGAAACACTTGGATTACTAGCAATATGAATGGCGATTGATTGTCACAATGGAGAAGTAGACGATCCCGCCATATGTAATCCAATCTCGATCCAACAACATACGAATCCACCGAAGCTCACTTGTAACGTTAGCCATAGCACGATATTCTCGCTTCGCACTAGATCGAGAAACAACCGATTGTTTCTTACTCTTCCACGACACAAGATTACCTCCAAGGAATACACAAGTACCCGATATAGACCGGCGATCTACGGGACAACCAGCCCAATCGCATCGAGTATCCCGTCACCTCCAAAGAGTCTGGCTCAGAATAACCAGCTACATTAAGATGACCCCGATTATGGAATACAAGCCCTTGACCTGGGGCTCCCTTCAAATATCGTATAATATGTAAGACAGCTTGCCAGTGAGTAGTACGAGGAGAGCTCATGAACTGACTCACCACACTAACAGCAAATGAGATATCTGGACGAGTAATGGTAAGATAATTCAACTTGCCTACCAACCGACGATATTTTTCTGGATCATGAAGAAGCTCCCCGTGTTCGTTATCAAGCTTCACCCCAGGGTCCATAGGTGTATCACCAGGCTTAGCATCGTGCAAGCCCACCTCCTTAAGAATATCAATGGCGTACTTTCTCTGAGAAAGAGCAATACTATCACCAGTATATGCAACTTCGATACCGAGAAAATATCGAAGTAGACCTAAGTCTTTAGTATTAAACTCCTTTTGTAGAAACTGCTTGAGTCGTTTTATGCCTTCAACATCACTCCCAGTAACAATGATATCATCAACATAAACAACCAGAATAACATACCCCTTCAAAGATGACATACTAAATACGGAATGATCCACATTGCATCGATGCATACCAAAACCGTAATGACATCACTAAAACGACCGAACCAAGCACGGGAGACTGCTTTAGTCCATATAGAGCTTTACGCAATCGGCATACCTTCTCCCCCTGAGCAACAAACCCGGGTGGTTGCTCCATATAGACCTCTTCTTCTACTCCTTCCACTTCAGTCACCTTAGCAGATGGTTCAAAATCTCAAGTAGCTGGTACAGGTTGTGTGTCATTGAATTCCTCCATATCTTTGCCTTTTGTTTACCATATTCCTCGATTCCCTTATAGTTTGTTATCTGTCAGTTCCATTACTCGTGATCTTGATTGCAATATCACCTTTTCTCCATCTTCATGTGTCCTCCAGGATCGGAAGACTGGACGCCGGATAGGTGGTGGGCGTGAGGCTGGTGGATTGTATCTTCTAGACCCCGTGATTGTTGCTGCTACTGCTACTATTCAGAAGAAGGCTGTGGATGACTCTTATCGGTAAGAAGACGCGAATCACCAGTCATATGATGAGTGGCACCTGAATCAATAATCCAAGGACTAAGTGTATCTGTAGTGGCTAAGAGACAAGTACCATCATTATGTTGTGCCAAAGTAGCAACAGGAGCTGAAGAACCACCAAGGTTGTCGCGCTCTAATCAGCTCATCATATTCTGCACGAGTCAACTGCACAATACTTTGTTCGGAAGCTGATCCAGATGAAGAAGACCGAGGCTCAATATCAATGGAAGCCTGTAAACCCCGCAACTCAGGATGGAGATCATAACAATAGTTAATAGTGTGTCCAGCCAACTGACAATGAGTACAAAAACGACCTCCACGACCTCCTCTAGCACTAGCAGTACTACCACCTCGAGGAACACCTCGACCCGGAATAGTGCGGCCACGACCATGATTAAAGTTACTTGTACTCCAATTGCCACGACCACGAACTCCTTGATTACCACGAGCCACCATAGCACTATTATCGACATAGTTGAAGCTTTCGAATCGGGAGTGTACCGAGCGGCTCGAGAATATACTTCCTCTATGGAAGGAAGGGTGCCCGGAGAAGTAATCTATTTGTCTTAGGGCACGTGATCTGGACCAAGACCTCGAAGAAAGAGGACCACCAGCATGTCTCGCTTCTCTCTGTGCATCCGAGTAAGCTGTTGTGGCTGGTGGAAGATGAGACCGAGTCGCCGAGACAAAGAAGTAAAACGAGCATAGTATTCTCGCCAATCCGGAAGGACCAATTTTAGCCTCAAATAATGCCTCCCACATATCACATACTCGACTCATATTATTCTGTCCGAATAAAGTAAAGTGCATTTGGACCACACCTCACGAAATGTCATACAATCCATAAAAAGAGGACGAATAGAATCAGTCATACTTCCTCAGCAGAAGTACGCAACGCAGCGTCGGTGACCCTCCATTCTTCTAAATTATGAATCCTCGGTGGTGGTTCATGGAGCCACCTAGATTGGCGATTAGCATAAATAAAAGTAGAAAGGGCCATTGACCAACTCGGGTAATTCGTGCCATCCAACTTTACTAATGTGGTGTGTAAACCACTCATACCAAAGGAACCAAGAGCAATAGTCGGGGTAGTCACCCCTGAACGAACATCCGGGTTACCGAATCGGTAGACATATCCACCAATTAAAAGAGAACACTGTAATCTATCGATTGTCACCAAATCCACTAAAAAAAAATGTGAACACCACCAACAAGCAACTATCAATCACACTACAAGTCACCACACCAACTTCCACTACCACATCAACCGAGATCCGCTCACCACATCAACCACCACTACACTTTAATTAAAAACAATGTCTTCACATCGACAGGTGCAAGACAGCAGAGAAACACGAGCAAAAAAATCCCATGACCAAGACAGATCGGTAGAGAAGCAACAGGAACATGACCAAAAATTTCTTCACATCTCGTTGCCTCTCTCTCGCGAATCACATCACTGGAAGAGGCGCTGAGTCACGCTCTGGAGGCGCGCTGGAGGCGCGCTGAGTCGCGCGCGGGGGGGGGCGCGAGGTCGCGCCGAGGAGC